ACACACACACACACACACACACATATATATATAAAAAAAAAGTTGTGTACTCCAAAGGTCAAGATTTGATAGTTAAAAGATTTTTACTGCTTTTTCTTAAATGAAACTGGCATGTGTGTCCATTTGTGTGTGGTGAACACAATTACAACAATGACTAGCAGGATTTGGTGCCACTGCCTTGGGTGGAGCTCAGACTGGCTATAGTTTTACTCCCCACTTTTTAAAAAAAATGTATCTTTATTATTGAAAGTATTACAGATATCCCCCTTTTTCCTCCCATTGATCCCCTCCAACCCACATCTGCCCCACCACCCCCTCCCCACACTATCGCCTGTGTCCATGGCACTATTGTCTGTGTCCATGGGTTATGCATATATGCACATAAGTTCTTTGATTAATCTCTCCCTACCCACTCCCCCACCCCACCTTCCCACTGAGATCCCTCAGTCCGTTCCACGCTTCTATGTGTCTGGGTCTATTTTGTTCCTCAGCCTATTTTGTTTATTAGATCCCACATATAAGTGAGATTATGTAAAACTGAATCAGGAGGAATCAGAAAACCCGAACAGGCCAATAACAACTGATGAAATCAAAGCAGCAATAAAAAAAACTCCCAGCAAACAAAAGCCCTGATCTGGGCGGCTTCACAGAGGAGCTTTCTAATTCTTAAAGTTGTAGGGTTAGATTTCACTTCCCACTTTTGTACACCAATGTGAGTAACACAATAAAGGACAATAGAACTAATAATATTTTAGTGTTTATAAAAATAGGAAGGTCTCAGGAACCCCCCAGGAGACTGCACCTCTCCTTTAAAGGACCGCTGTGCTAGAGGAACCCCCACAGAATGTAAGGGGGTACCTGCAGGCAGAGAGCCCTGAGACCGAGAGAGGACTGTCCTGGTGAGTCCTGGGCTTGCTGCTGTGGCACCAAGGTCCCACCCCAGGGATGCGTGTTGCAATGTGCAAGGCTTTAAAGGAAGCAGCAGGCTAGTTCAGATCCAGCTCCACCACTTTCTAGCTGTGTGACCTCACTGAGCCTCAGTTTCCTTATTTATAAATGGGGTAATCATGCTTACGTCTCAGGACTGGAGCAAAATTTACAATACACAGTGTATGAAAAATGCCCAGAGCAGCTCAGAGCCTAGCACAGAACACTGAATAAATGGCACCTGCTATTGTCATCATTCATGGTGAGCAACTTCTAACAGGAAGGAAAACAAAACAGGCACTGGAGCCTCTGCCAGGGCAGCTTCTGTTCCCACACAGTGGGGATCCTGGTGTGTGTTCCCCACAGGATCCTGAGGGACTTGTAATCAAACCCAGCCTGCTCAGCTAGCCAGCAGAGTTCATGTGCAGCACAGCCAAGTGGAGGCCACATGCTCTGTGGGGCTCCTGAGACAACTCTTAGAAAGGAAAAGACACTAGCAGTCCTCCCACAGGGCCATTACTCCTTTCAGGCAGCTGCCTAGGAGCTCCATGGTCAGTGATGCCCCAGGAAGGGCACTCTGCCCACAGATCCTGGGGACCCACCTGAGATGCTGGGCTGCATTTCCCAGAGCTCAACTGGCCTGCCCCTGCCTCTCCCCAGAAGGGCTCACCCTCCCTGCAGCCATGGCACCAGGATGCCAGCTGGCCTCAGAGGGGCTCCTCTGTCCCCAGGAGGCAGGTTCCAGGCATCTGTCCAGGAACAGGGCTTTGGGCTTTTCTGGGAAAACTGAAAGGCAGCTCCCATCTGCTGAAAAAAGGGGTCCCAGAGGGAAACCGAACACTCTGCTAGGCCCCCTGGGTCTCCAGGGCTACCCAGAGGTTGGAGTAAGCGGGATCACACTCTGCCTCTGCCAAGCATGCAGACTCGTCCCTTCCCAGGAGACCTGGTCCACATGTGACTTCATCATCCACACCCCACCTGCCCACCTTGGAAGCTTCACGAGAACTGAGACAGAGATGTGATAAGCCATGAAGGACCAAGCAGCGTGAGGTCCTTACAGCTGGGGTACTTATTTGCCAGGAATGGCTGCTGACACCGTGGGCAATGCTACAATCCATCCTGTTCCTTCAAATCCCCCAGTTTGGGCTTAAGGACAGTCTGTGTGGTAGCCGCTTAATGGAGGCC